TACAGCCACATCTGTGCAGGTCTCACAGCTGAGATTCCCCAAGAGAGCCTAAGATTATCCCAAGGTAAGCCAAATGAGCTTTAAAGTAATAAAGTAATAACCTTCTGGGTTAAGGCAGTCCAGAAGGCAAGAAGTGGCAGGGGTTAGAAGACTGACCAATCAAGCAAATAAATTAAATTACATATCAATATTGCTTCTATCGACACAAGTATCCAAAATGAAATATTAGCAAACAAAATCCAATACCACATTGAAAAGAAAATACGTAATTACCTAAACAGGACTTACTCCAAGCATATAGACTGGTTTAATATTTGGAAATCCATTAATACAATATGCCATTATAATATAGCTAAGAAGAAAAATCTTACATTTCCGAAGATGCTGAAAAGAACTCTGACAATATTCAAATGCATACCTAATTAAAAATTTAAAAAAACCCTCAAGATAATAGGAATTGATGGATACTTCACCAACATGAATATACCTATGTATACACATATTCATACCCTAATGTGCACAGTACGTGTGATACATATACACACGGGTACATACATACACTTTGTTGAGTCCAGACAAACACATATCTATGCTTCAGTCCTCTTAGTTCTAAAGTCAGGACTTACTTAATGGGTAAACAATAGACACATTCTCACAAAGATTAGAAACAAGGCAAAATGCTCATTATCTCCAATCAGAGAAAACAATTAAAGGTCTAATAAGCAATAAGAAAAAGTGAAACTATTTCTATTCACAGATGATATACTATACCTAGAAAACTCAGAGAATCAACAATGGAACCAAATCAATAAAAAGAATGCTGTTAGGTCACGATATATAGTTAACACACATAAAGACAACAGCCCTCATTATGTAAAAAAGAGTAAAAAGATGTAATTCAAGTGTACACACAGTTTACAATAGCAACAGAAAAAAACTCTTAATAAGAAATATACAAAATCTATACTAGAAAATTTTTAAAACACTCCTGAAAGACAGAGAGGTAGACCTGAACAAATGGAATGATTCTCCTTGTTCTTGAACACACTGTGAAGCACAATAAAAGGAGGCATGCCTTCACCAAGATGTATCAAAATCAAATGGCTAAAAACTAGTGATAAAAAATAAAGAAATAAAGACACAGAGGAACAAAGATGAGGATGACATCAGACTTCTCTTGGAATCAATGTAAGCAAGAAGCCAGTGGAGGAACACATTTAAAGTACTGGAGGATAAAAAAAACCAGCAATAATCTCTTTAAAAGTGAAGGCAAAATAAAGATATTTTCAGACATACAAGAGCCATAAGAATTCATTATCAACTAGAAGAGATGTTAAAGAAAGTCCTTCAGGCAGAAGGAAAATGACAGCAGATAAAAATGTGGATCTACACAACAGAATGAAGCACCAGAAATGGTAACTATGTATTTTCTCTCATTATTTAAATCTCTTTAAAAGATAATTAAAAATGACAATGTATCAGGAAATCCCTGGTGGTCCAGTGGTTAGAACTCAGAACTTTAACTGCAGGGGCCCATGTTCAATCCCTGGTCGGGGAACTGAGATCCCACTAGTCACTTGGTTTGACAAAAAAACAAACAAACAACAACAAAAAACCCAATGTATTGTGGGACTGGTATTACCTGTAAAAATAAAATGCAACAACAGTATAAAGACCAAGATGGGAAAAATGGAACTGTAGCTAAGTGATCAGGCATATTACTTGAAGATAAACTATAATAATTAAAGCTACATACTATAAACACTAAAGCACACACTAAAATAACAAGTGTTATGGCTAATAACCCAACAAAGGATATAAAATGGAATCACAAAAAATAGTCAATCAAACAGAAGGAAGACAAAGAAGATGGGACAAATAGAAAATAAAGACAACAGACTATAACCTAACTGGTTGTATTAATATTCACTTTACAAGTAAATAATCTAAACACCCCAATTAATAGACAGAAATTATCAAATTGGATAAAAAAAAGAAGACCTAACTATATGCTGTCTACAGCGCTGTACTTCACATATAAAGATGCAAATAGGCTAAAAGTAAAAGGACAGAATAAGACATTGCACACCAACACTACTCAAAAGAAAGCTGGAATGGCTTTATATAAGTATCAGAGATTCCATTTCACAGCACAGACCATTACCAGGATAAAGGAGGCCAATTCACAACAACAAAGTGGTTAATTAATCAAGAGGACCTAATAATCTTAAATGGTTAGGTATCTTCTCACAAAATTCATGAAGCAAAAACTGACAGAATTGCAAGGAGAAACAGACAAAACACAATCGCAGATTTCAATTCCCCCTCTCTCACGACTCATGGGACAAGTCGGCAGAAGGTTAGCAAGGATATGGTGCACCTGCCAAACATTCCCAACTTGATGTTACTGACATTTAGAGAACACTCCACCCACCGAGAGCAGAACAGGCACCCTTCTCAAGTGCACGTGGAGCTTCTCCGAGAGAGAGACCTATTCTGGGTCATAAATCTTAAAAAAGTCATTATTTATGTAGTGTTCCTGCCGAAAAATCACCATCTAAATCTATGAAAAAACATCGGGGAAACAAAAATTCAAAGAATTCTACAAAATAATTGGCCTGTATTCTTCAATTACTATAATGGCATTGAGAAACTATTCCATATTAAACAGACTTAAAAAGCATGAAAACTAAATGCAATTCATAATTCCGGACTGCGTCCTCCATCAAAAATTAAAAACTGCTATAAAGGAAATTACTGGGAAAACTGACAAAACTGGAAGTTGGATGACTGGATGAACTGTAGATTAAAGTATTATATCAAGAGGACTTCCCTGGTGGTCCAGTGGTAAAGAATCCACCTTACAATGCAGGGGACGTGGGTTCGATCCCTGGTCAGGGAACTGAGACCCCACATGCAGCAGGGCAACTAAATCCACGCACCACAAGTACTCAGCTCAGGCGCCTCAACTAGAGCCCTCGTGCCGCAAACTGCAGAGCCCACAAGCTCTGGAAAAGGAGCGCTACAGCTAGAGAGCCGATACGCCCTGAAGCCAGTGTGCCAAAACTAGAGAAGAGAAAACCCCCATGCCACAACTAGAGAGAAGCCCACGCGCCACAACAAAGAGCCCACTCACCACAACTAAGACCTGATGCAGCCAAAAATAAGTAATAAATAAATAAATAAAAATAAAGGATTATATCAGGAACTTGCCTGGTGGTCCAGTGTGTAAGACTCCCAATGCAGGGGGCCTGGGGTCGATCCCTGGTTGGGGAACTAGATCCTGCATGCATGCCGCAACTAAGAAGCCTGCATGCTGCAACTCAGAGTCTGCATGCTGCAACTAAGACATGGCACAGCCAAAATGAATAAATTTTAAAAATTTTTTGAAAAAATAAAGTATTATATCAATGTAAAATTTCCTGAATTCAGTTACCTCTGGCAAGCATACATAAGAAAATATTCTTGATCTTAGGAGATACAACTGAGACATTACAGGGTAAAGGGGCATGACACACTCTCAAACGGTTCAGAAAAAAATATGTTAAAGTTAAAACAATTGCAATGCAGTCAACACAATGCAAGGCTAATCAACTGCAACATATGGGCTCTATTTGTATCCTCATTGAAAAGAAAAAACTGAAAAACATGTAGAAGATTGTGAAACTTTTAACACTGATATTAAGAAAAAATGGTATTGTGGGTTATCCCCACCCACTTTTTAAAAGACTCATTATTGTTTAAAGATACATACAGAAAAACAAGTGAATTTTTTCTAAAGGATTTTTAAATGAATATTTATTTTTAATTAATTTTATTTATTTATTTTTGGCTGTGTTGGGTCTTCGTTGCTGCGTACAGGCTTTCTCTAGTTGCGGTGCGTGGGCTTCTCATTGCGGTGGCTTCTCCTGTTGCGGAGCACGGGCTCTAGGCACGCGGGCTTCAGTAGTTGTGGCACAAAGGCTCAGTAGTTGTGGCTCGGGGGCTCTAGAGCGCAGGCTCAGTAGCTGTGGCGCACGGGTTTAGTTGCTCTGCGGCATGTGGAATCTTCCCGGACTAGGGCTCAAACCCGTGTCCCCTGCACTGGCAGGTGGATTCTTAACCATTGTGCCACCAGGGAAGTCCCAAATGAATTTTTTTTAAAGCCAAGAAAAGGGAGACTCCATGAGTTTGGCAGTAACAGATGTCAAAGGCAGATGGATGGTCAGGAGAGATAAGGACCTGAAAATGTCCACTGGATTTGACTATAATTAGGTCACTGCTAATCTTTACCAACAGATTCAGGAGAGTGGTAAGGACAAAACCAAGACACCAAGAATTGAAATGGGAATGGGAAGTGAAAACACCTTACTGGAGAATATCTGTCTGTACTGTGTGCTGTACAACCCCCCAAAAACACACTAACAGAAATATCTGAAGGATGAGAAGGCCATTCCATGACTTAGGTTTTAGCCTTGGACTAAATAGTAAAAATGTAAACAGGTCTACTTGGATCACAATATTTTGGAGCCTGGAAAAATCACATGCACCAAGTTCCCGTTGGGCAGCAGGCCCACTGCTAAGATAAACAATAAGTCTAAGTCATATACTGAAATGATTTGATGCCTGTTATTAGGAGAGCTATCCACAATTATTTCAACTTCAACAAACAAATTTTTCCAGGTCTTAGGAAATCTTTGAAACCCACAAGTAACAAAAATGCTTTCTTCTTATAGTCAACACAAATCACACGATGGATGGTATTTTCCTCTTTCTATAACTGTCAAGAACATGAGTCATATTTGCAGCTCAATTCCAGTAGCCTTAAAGCATCATACTACCTATATGTGTGAACCTGACAACAACTGGGTGCCACCCTGACTCTGTAACAACTGTATTTTATGTGATAATGTCTTTTACCTATTTCTACCTTCACGTTTTAAAATGTGGATCCTTATACACCTCCTAAAATGCATTACAAAACAAAGTGGGGGAATACATACACCGACAAGAAAACTCACCTGGGATTCATTCATTTTCTGCTGCTCTTGGAAAAATCGTAGACTGTAAACGGTGGACCTAGAGGAAGGGAAGCAAGTAACTGAAGTGCTGAGTAACCTGACCTGCCCAGGCAGGAACCTCCTGCATCAGGACCATCAAAGAAAGTCCAATAAAATGACACCCTATGAACATTCAAGAGGCTAAAAGGGTCCTACAAGAGAAACACACACCTGTACCTTTCCAACACCAACACGATCAAGTTACTCTTATTGGTGAATATGAACGACTGTTTCAAAGAGTTAAATTAAAAATGCAAATAAAAAAATTTCCCTGTGACACTACTTAAGTATTTTCTTATTGTCTCTTTAAATTGATTAAAATCAAAGATTCCACAGTAAGGGAGAATGTAAGCTCTCAAAAGTGGGATAAACGTGCATCAAGGCACCGCACTGTTTGTAAATCATCTGACTCAATTTGGTTACCGCTGCACTTATGACTGTTTTATTATGAAACTGACTTTAAGTGGACAGAACACCTGCCCTAGGAGTTTGGAGTCCTGGTAGCGACCCCACGTGCACACCCGGTGAGGATCTGGGACAAGTCACCTCCCTTCTCAGGCCCAATCTCTTCCTTCCTCAAGCGAGGCAGCAGGACAGAAGCCTTGCAGACTCATCCTGCAGTAACTACACTGCGCGACTCCACAGGGCACAACCCAGGGGGGCAGCGGACGCTTAGCTTACACAACCAAGGTGCTAACGCGCTTTGAGAGACACGTGCGAGATGCCGAGACGGCGACAGGAGGAGGAAGACCAGGAGGATCGCGGTTGGACGGAGGGGTGGACGCGCCACGTCCCGGCCGAGCCTACGGCCCCTGCTCCCCCAGGACACCGGGTGCTCACAAGTCCCAGGGGAGCCCCATCCGGAGCTCCCGGCCCTGCCCTCCAGCCCGGCCCATCCACCTCGGGGAAGCGGTCAAACCCTCCCGGTCGCTCTCCCGCGGGGCCCGGGGCGGGCTACCCCAAGTCCCGCTCTCCAACGGCCGCAGGGTCCACAACCGCCTGCAGGCCCGCAGACGCAACACCCACCCCGTCGGGACTAGCTGACCGGCCCCGGGCTCCCGAGGCTCCGGTCCGGGGGCTGCTCCTGCGGCGCGCTCCTCTCTCGGATCCCTCCGCTCCGCCTCCCGAAGCCACTGGGACCGAGGAGCCGGCTCTGGGCCTACGGCACAAACTCCCTTCAGGCCCACGTCCCTCCCGGGACCTCGCTGTGCCGCGCGCTGCAGAGTGCCTGGCACTGCGCCGCCGCCGCCGCCCGGCCGGCCCCTCCGGCCCAGCCCGCGGGCTCCGGAGCTCGCGCTCGGGGGTCCTCGTTCCAGCCTCTGCCCAGCCCACGCGAACCCTCGCCCACACAGCCCGCGCCCTCTGGGTGCCGGCCGGGCCAGACGGCGCCCACCCCTTCAGGCCCCGGAATCGTCGCCCGCCGGAGGCCACAGCCTGGGAACGAAAGCAAGCGGTGACCTGGGCACGGATAGGAAACAAGAGCGGCGCGGCGCAGCGGCGGTGCGCGTGCGCGAACACGCACACAGGGTGAGGCTCGCTAGCGCAGGAGGACGCCGGAAGTCCGCCTGCCAAGGCCCGCCCCGGAGAGCGAGACAAATACCAGGACTCTATTTCCCAGAAGTCTCCGCGCCGTCAAGTTAGGGAACGTCTTAAATATCTCCATCTCATCTGGCGGTGAAGAGGTGCTGTGGTGAGAAGTTGGGCCGCCTGGACCAGGGACTCAAATTTCCCCTTACTTTAAGGGAACGTCTGTTATGTCACCGCTTCTCGAGGACCCTTACCTGTGTCCTGGTGCGCTAATCTTTTCCTTACCTTGAATGCTTAAGTCTTAGAATAAGTGTCCACAGACAACTGATAAATAAGGGAAAGGAGTTTATCATGTTAGCTTACTATCATAGTGAGCTATTTAATCAAAATATTAGTGAATAGAACTTAGCGTTAACATAATAGAGTATTAGCCTAGAATACCTTCCTCCCCCTCATAGGGAAAAAGAAACATAGGCTTTCCAAACCACTTTTAATTCGTGAAAACTGTAGAAAAAATCATAAAATACAGAATTGAAAGAAGAAAATTACCCATACCTTTACTTCCTGAAGAGGATTATGTGTGTGGAAAAAAAAATTGTGTGTTTCAATGGACAACTAAGCATTATTTGGAGGACATCGCTCTGCGTTGACTTCAGCGCTCTCTTTGTCTTCGAGCTGTTTTACACGTCTTCGAAGGTTGTAGGTAACATGAAATTCTGTCCACTTGGTAGGAAGTTCAGTTGACTCGCCAAACCCCTACCCAGGAAGAATCCAATTTTGCCTTCATTTCTTTATTTACATATTCATTTCAGTAGTCCTGATCTGTAATGTGTCTGTTTCTCAGATTCTCTTTTGAACCGGTTATAACAGCTGCAGGTTCCCTCTTGAATGAAATAAAATACTTAGCCTGTGCTCATTTTTATATCTGTATGAGAGTCATGATCTCACCCTTATTTTCTTTTTAAGATTTATTATTTATTTATTTATTTTATTTACCTTTGGCTGTGTCAGGTCTTAGTTGCAGCAGGCGGGCTCTTTGTTGTGGAGCTTGGGATTCTCTCTACTTGTGGTGCGTGGGCTTCTCTCTAGTTGTGGCGGGCTGGTTTTCTCTCTTTAGTTGTGGCGCACGGGCTCCAGGGCACGTGAGCTCTGTAGCTTTTGGCACTCGGGCTCTAGTTGAAGTGCGAAAGCTCAGTAGTTGTGGCACGCGGGCTTAGTTACGCTGCGGCACGTGGGATCTTAGTTCCCTGACCAGGGATTGAACCCAGGTCCCCTGCATTGTAAGGGGATTCTTTACCACTGGACCACCAGGGAAGTCCCTATCCTTATGTTTTAACAGTTTGGGAGGTCTTCACAGAGATCCTGGATGGATTCACCTAACAGCACCAGGTAAATGTTTTGTCAAGAGTAGTGCACATCATTCCTCAAGAATTTTAAAGTAAAACTATAAAAGGATCCAGAAATTCCACTTCTGTGTATTTTTTTGGAAGAAAAAAAACACACTAGTTCAAAAAGATACATGCACCCTTATGTTCATTGAGCATTATTTATAATAGCCAGTGTATAGAAGCAACCTATGGGTCCATCCATAGATGAATGGATAAAGAAGATGCGTAATATATATATATATATATATATATGCACATACACACCACAATGGACTATTTGCCATGAAAAAAAAAAAAAAAGAGTGAGGGGCTTCGCTGGGGTTTCACTGGTTAAGAATCCACTTGCCAGTACAGGGGACATGGGTTCAAGCCCTGGTCCAGGAAGATCCCACATGCCACGGAGCAACTAAGCCCGTGTGCCACAACAATTGAGCCTGCACTCTAGAGCCTGTGAGCCACAACTACTGAAGCTCGCTCACCTAGAGCCCATGCTCTGCAACAAGAGAAGCCACCGCAATGAGAAGCCCACTCAGAGCAGTGAAGTGAAGCCCCCGCTCGCCGCACCTAGGAAAAGGCCACATACAGCAACAAAGACCCAACGCAACCAAAAATAAAATAAATACATTTTAAAAAATTAAAAAAAATAATGAAATCTTGCCATTTGTGGCAACATGGATGGAGCTAGATGGTATTATGCTAAGTGCAATAAGTCAGACAGAGAAAGACAAATACCGTATGATCTCATTTGTGTGTGGAATCTAAAAAACAAAGCAAAAGAACTAATGTAACTAAACAGAAACAGACTCATAGATACAGAGAACAAACAGGTGGTTGCCAGAGGGGCATAGGTGGATGAGTGAAATAGATGAGGGAGATTAAGAGAAACAGATGACCAGTTACAAAATAAATGAGTCATGGGAATGAAATATACAGCATGGGCAATACAGTGAATAACATTATAATAACTTTGTATGGTGACCGATGGTAACTAGACCATGGTGATGGATGGTAACTAGACCATAACTAGACTTATCATGGTGATCATTTTCTAATATATAGAAATATTGATATTATGCACCTGGAACTAACAAAGTGTTGTAAGTCAGTTACACTTGAATGAAAATTTTTTAATTAAAAAGAAAAGAATAGTGTGTCTCCTTAACTATAGACGCTTAGTCATACAGCAGTTCTCTAGAACATATTCATCCTGTGTAACTGTAACTTTATACCCATTGAACAATTCCCATCCTCTCCTCCCCCACCCCTGACAATTTATGTTTAACTTTTTTAGATACCTCATATAAGTGGAAACACACAGTTTTGTCCTTCTGTGACTGACTTATTTCACTTACCATAATGTCTTCCAGTTATATTCCCGTTGTCTCAACTGGTAGGATTTCCTTCTAATAAGTGAATAATATCCTGTTATATGTATATACCACATTTTCCTTATCCATTTGTCTGTTGATAAAATTTGCATTGTTTTCCTATCTTGGCTCTTGTGAATAATGCTGTAATGAATATAGAGGTGCATATATCTCTTCCAGATATTGATTTCATTTACTTTGGATATACAGTCTATATTATATTATATTATATTATACTATATTATATTATATTATATTATATTATATTATATTATAGTTATTGTGCTTCCCGGATCTTGTGTTTTTTACAAATTGAAGGTTTGCGGCAACTCTTTGTTGAGCAAGTCTATTGGCACTGTATTTCCAACAGCAGTTGCTCACTTCTTGTCTTTGTGTCATGTGTTAGTAATTCTCACACTATTTCAAACCCTCCGTCAGCAAAAAGATTACTACTCACCGAAGGCTCAGATGATGGTTAGCAATTTTTACCAATAAAGTATTTTTATTTATTTATTTATTTGGCTGTGCTGCACAGCACGTGGAATCTCAGTTCCCTGACCAGGGATCAAAGGTGCACCCTCTGTATTGGAAGGCGAATTCTTGTTATTATTATTATTTCTTTTGTGGTACGCGGGCCGCTCACTGTTGTGGCCTCTCCCGCCGCCGAGCACAGGCTCGGGACGCGCACGCTCAGCGGCCATGGCTCACGGGCCCAGCCGCTCCCCGGCATGTGGGATCCTCCCGGACCGAGGCAGGAACCCGAGTCCCCTGCATCGGCAGGCGGACTCTCAACTACTGCGCCGCCAGGAAAGCCCTGGAAGGCTAATTCTTAACCACTGGACCACCAGGGAGGTCCCTAAAGTATTTTTTTTAACATCTTTATTGGAGTATACTTGCTTTACAATGTTGTGTTAGTTTCTGCTGTATAACAAAGTGAATCAGCTATATGTATACATATATCCACATATCCCCTCCAACTTGAGTCTCCCTCCCACCCTCCCTATCCCCCCCCCCTAGGTGGACACAAAACACCCCGCTGATCTCCCTCTGCTATGCGGCTGCTTCCCACCAGCTATCTGTTTTACATTTGGTAGTGTATATATGTCCATGCCACTCTCTCACTTTTCCCCGGCTACCCCTCCCCCCCGCCGCCCCCCCCCCCGCCCCCTAGTGTCCTCAAGTGCATTCTCTGCGTCTTTATTCCTGTCCTGCCACTAGGTTAATCAGAGCCACTTTTTAATTTTTTCTTTAGGTACCATAAATATGTGTTAGCATACGGTATTTTTCTCTTTCTGACTGACTTCACTCTGTTTCACAGACTCTAGGTCCATCCACCTCACTACAAATAGTTCAATTTCGTTCTTTTTAAGGCTGAGTCATATTCCATGGTATATATGTGCCACATCTTCTTTATCCGTTCATCGGTCAGTGGAAACTTAAGTTGCTTCCTTGTCCTGCCTATTATAAATAGTGCTGCAGTGAACATTGTGGTACGTGTCTCTTTTTGAATTATGGTTTTCTCAGCGTATATGCCCAGGAGTGGGATTGCTGGATCATATGGTAGTTCTATTTTTAGTTTTTTTAAAAAATAAATTTATTTATATTTATTTATTTATTACTTTTGGCTGTGTTGAGTCTTCGTTGCTGTGGGCGGGCTTTCTCTAGTTGCAGAGAGCTGGCGCTACTCTGTTGCAGTGCGTGGGTTTCTCATTGCGGTGGCTTCTCTTGTTGCAGAGCGTGGGTTCTAGACATGTGGGCTTCAGTAGTTGTGGCACGTGGGCTCAGTAGTTGTGGTGTACGGGCTCAGTGGTTGTGGCGCATGGGCTTAGTTGCTCCCCGGCATGTGGGATCTTCCCGGACCAGGCTCGAACCCGTGTCCCCTGAATCAGCAGGCGTATTCTTAACCACTGCGCCACCAGGGAAGGCCTATTTTTAGTTTCTTAAGGAACCTCCACACTGTTCTCCACAGAAGCTGTATCAATGTACATTCCCAGCAACAGTGAAAGAGGGTTCCCTTTTCTCCACACCCTCTCCAGTGTTTACTGTTTGTAGATTTTTTGATGATGGCCATTCTGAGTGGTGTGAGGTGATGCCTCACTGTAGTTTTGATTTGCCTTTCTCTAACGATTAGTGTCTTTGAGCATCCTTTCATGTGTTTGTTGGCAATCTTATATCTTCTTTGGAGAAATGTC